GTCCAAGATTTGTTGTAGATCTTGTTCCGAATCGGCCAGCAGTGCAGTGTCGTCGGCATATCTGATGTTATTGATTTATTGTCCATTGACTTTAATACCAATGTTTTTGTCTGCTAGTGTTCGATCAAAAATCTGCTCCGAGTAGATGTTGAAAAGAATCGGTGACAGTGGGCAGCCTTGTCGTACACCTTTTTGTATTGGTGTTGGGTCTGTCAGTTCGTTGTCATATCGGAGTTGGGCTGTTTGCTTCCAATAAAGAGCAATGATGAAGTTGGTGTCGTTTTTATCTAGTCCCAGTTGTTTTAATAGAGCTGCTAGTCGGTCGTGGTCTACTGAGTCAAAGGCTTTCTCGTAATCTATGAAGCAGATGTACACTTCTTTCTGATGTTCGTAGCATCGCTGTAGTAGTATCTGTAAACAGAAGATTGCTTCTCTTGTGCCTAGTCCTTTGCAAAAGCCAAACTTTGTGTTCCTCAGTGCACTCTCGCATGTGGGGCGTATGCGCTGTTGGATCACCTTCAGGAAGACTTTCAGCACGTGGCTCATCAAGCTTATCAGTCTGTAGTCTTCACATTTCCGGCTTGTTGCTTTCTTTGGTATGGCCACAAAGATGGATTGTAGCCAGTCGGATGGAATTTTATTGCCGTTGTAAATTTGATTGTACCAATTAGTCAGTTGTCGCATGTTATTGCTGTCTAATAATTTGAGCAATTCGACGTGGATTGTATCGGGCCCGCACGCTTTGCCTGGCTTAGCTGTTTTGATTGCATGTTCTACTTCTGATGTTAAAATGTGTAAAGCGTCTTTCGACGTCTGTTGGTCTTTTCCTGCAGATGTTCTCGCGGAGCCAAAGAGCTTGTGTATATAGTTTGTCCAGGTGTCCATTTTTTCTTGTTTATTTAGGATTGGTTGGTTGTTGTCCGCATACAAGATTGCTGTTGGGGCTGGTCTGTAGATATTACCAGCTTCTTTGAGCTTCTTGTGTAGGTTAAAATTGTCATGTTTTTTAACTAATTCTTCAATTTCTGCGCATTGTTCCTCCATCCATTTTTCTTTTGCCTGTCGGATTGCTTCTCTGATCTTCTGTTGCATTTGTTTGTACTTCTCCAAGTTGTTATTTTTGTACATTCTTCGTTTGCTCATTAGATCGAGAATATATTGTGTCATCCATCGTTGTTTCTTTTTCGGTGACTGGTGTCCCAGCATAACTTCTGTTGTTTCTGTGATGCATTGTTTGAACGAGCACCAGTACTCCTGGACATCTGCTGTTTCTGTTGTTATTGAGCGTATACTATCGTTGAGCTGTTGCTGTACTTGTCTTTTATCGGCGCTGTTCTTCAGTTTCTCCAGGTCTGTTCGTCTCGTCTTTGTACATTGTATTGATCGCAACTTGAGTCTTATTGTAGCTACTACTGGGTTGTGATCTGACGATATATCGGCTCCAGGGTAGGTTTTTGCTGTAAGCACACTGGACTTAAACCTGGTGTTAATTAAGATATAATCGATTTGGTTCCTGACGATGTTATTGTCAGAGTCTTGCGGCGAAGTCCACGTATACAGTCGTCGAGGTGGTAATTGGAACCACGTGTTAGCAATACTGAAGCGTTCTTCTTGGCAGAATTGAACCAGTCTGTCGCCTCGTCCATTCCTTATTCCTAGTCCGTGCTCTCCGACAATGTTCTGCATTCGACCGTGGCCAACCTTGCCGTTGAAGTCGCCAAGGATTATAGTGATGTCTTGTTTCTTCAGCGGTTTCAGCGTGTTGCTTTGAAGGGGTTCTTTGACGCAAGCTCGGAAATTCTTATCACCCCTGTCCTATTTAAAGGACGCCGATACTCAGGGCCTTTATTGATTTTGCTTGTCATCATTGAAGTTTTCAAGGGAAGAATAATCCAAGTAGTTTCCCGTTGCTTTCTTGGATCACAATTTATTTGAAAAGGTCATGTGGTGACCTTTCGAAACGGGTTTTGTCTGACGTCTCCACTGAAGTCTTCCCGCCTTGGGTGACCCTTCTGAGAGCACTAGGCTCTCGACGGTATAGCGATCAGCTTCTCAGACGTACACAAACTCTCTCGCCGCGTTAAGGCACCGTTTCACGAGAGAGTTGTGTTTTAACATAATCAATAGTTGGCCTGAATCACTGGACTCATTGAGAGCATACTCATTGAGAGCATAATTTCAGAGTTAAGTTTACCTTATGGATTATAGCAGCACTGTCATTGTAGAGTATGCATTTTTTTAGCCTTTTCAATTAAATCCAAATGATCAAATCATTACAAAAAAAAACACCACTGCTTCAGTGTTCATTTAACACTCTCTGAATGTGGACTCATATAAACACTGAGCAGTGTTAATTTAACACTGGTGATTTTGCTGTGTAGTTGTGACCGTGAAGAATTATAATACAATAAAGCAAGGCAGTTCAAGGCTTTGTGTGTAATTAGTGTAATAAATGGGACAAAATGCCATGCAAACCACTAACAACTGAATTTTTATTCGGCACCTGCTGTCACCAGTACAGCATTAACTCCTAGCCTGGTAAGTGCCACACATATTACAATTAAGAAGTTTAAAACCTGACAGGTGGTTATAACTTATAATGTAGATAAAATTGGGCTGATGTGATCATATTTAGTGCTAGTAAGTACTAGGAGCTGCATTCTGGACCAACTGGAGCTTATCTATAGAGCCAGCAGGACAACCACTCAATAAATCTAATCTGGAGGTCATAAATGTAATTGAACTTTGTATTTTGAGCACTTCTTGGGTTGTTATTGTCTCTTCACGATGACTCGTTTGGTTAGTCCTCAGATGTAAGTCGCTTTGGATAAAAGCGTCTGCTAAATGACTAAATGTAAATGTAAATGTAAATGCATGAATTAGCTTTTCAGCATTTGAAACAGACAACATATGGAAGAAGGAGGCTGAGGAAACTTATTCCATGTTTCCTAATAATGTCCCTAAGTGGAAGCATAGATGATGAAAAAAGCAGGGGGCCTAATACTGATCCCTGTGGCACTTCGTATTTAACTTATGTGCAGTCTTACATCTCTTCACAACACAGGCAAACTGACGGCAATATGATAAATACAATATAAACCATAATATCTGCAGTGGTCCACAGTATCAAAAGCAGCAAACACTATTAGAAAGAGATGCAGCCACTATCAGCCCTGCTTGAGGTGGTCTATTGCTGGTCTGGCTGGTGGACCGGCCGGTTTGAGGTGGTCTAGTGCTGGTCTGGCTGGTGGACCGGCTGGTTTGAGGTGGTCTAGTGCTGGTCTGGCTGTTAGTCCAGGCCGGTTTGAGGTGGTCTAGTGCTGGTCTGGCTGGTGGACCGGCTGGTTTGAGGTAGTCTGGCTGTTGGTCCAGGCCGGTTTGAGGTGGTCTAGTGCTGGTCTGGCTGGTGGAGCGGACGGTTTGAATTGGTCTAGTGCTGGTCTGGCTGGTGGACCGGCTGGTTTGAGGTGGTCTAGTGCTGGTCTGGCTGGTGGAGCGGACGGTTTGAGGTGGTCTAGTGCTGGTCTGGCTGGTGGACCGGCCGGTTTGAGGTGGTCTAGTGCTGGTCTGGCTGGTGGACCGGCCGGTTTGAGGTGGTCTAGTGCTGGTCTGGCTGTTGGTCCAGGCCGGTTTGAGGTGGTCTAGTGCTGGTCTGGCTGGTGGACCGGCCGGTTTGAGGTGGTCTAGTGCTGGTCTGGCTGTTGGTCCAGGCCAGTTTGAGGTGGTCTAGTGCTGGTCTGGCTGTTGGTCCAGGCCGGTTTGAGGTGGTCTAGTGCTGGTCTGGCTGTTGGTCCAGGCCAGTTTGAGGTGGTCTAGTGCTGGTCTGGCTGGTGGACCGGCCGGTTTGAATTGGTCTAGTGCTGGTCTGGCTGGTGGACCGGCCGGTTTGAGGTGGTCTAGTGCTGGTCTGGCTGTTGGTCCAGGCCGGTTTGAGGTGGTCTAGTGCTGGTCTGGCTGGTGGACCGGCCGGTTTGAGGTGGTCTAGTGCTGGTCTGGCTGTTGGTCCAGGCCGGTTTGAGGTGGTCTAGTGCTGGTCTGGCTGGTGGAGCGGACGGTTTGAGGTGGTCTAGTGCTGGTCTGGCTGGTGGACCGGCCGGTTTGAGGTGGTCTAGTGCTGGTCTGGCTGGTGGAGCGGACGGTTTGAGGTGGTCTAGTGCTGGTCTGGCTGGTGGACCGGCCGGTTTGAGGTGGTCTAGTGCTGGTCTGGCTGGTGGACCGGCCGGTTTGAGGTGGTCTAGTGCTGGTCTGGCTGTTGGTCCAGGCCGGTTTGAGGTGGTCTAGTGCTGGTCTAGCTGGTGGAGCGGCACAGTCATGCTGTTCTCGAGCTAACTGAGCTGGTGTAGCTGGACTCTTTAGCAGGGCAGAGGATCAAGCCTGTGTTATGATAATAGTGTTTATGATGCCCATTATATGTAGCTAGAAGAAGAGCTCTCTGATCATTTTTAGCAGACACTTTCGTTCAAACAGACTTTGAGTTCAGTTCTTACAGGTTAAGTCCTCCTCGAGTAACCGTAGGTTTAGTTAAGTCAAGGTTGTGTGATTTCTTATTGCTTGCTTTTAGAGGATTGATAAATCATTAACCAATCAAGTTTAGCCACTACAACACACTACACCATCCCATAAATACCAGTGATGCTAGTATAAATCTCTAATCTAATTTAAGTAGCTTTTTAAAATGTGCCTTAGGAAACATAAACATTACTAGTGTGCATCTTGAGACAAATCAATGGCACTGACAATTTCAGTTAATACAGCTCAAACATCATTTTAGTCTGGGACTATCTTAAGCCGTGTGTTTTAAAGCATGACTTAAGGAATAAACAGACCAAAATTCTCAAAAGCTTTATTCTATTTTCATGAACAAGCAGACAAGTACCATTTTGTTAATTTGACATAGGCTGGAAAACACTCTCAAATGTAAACTCAGTCTTTACAAAAAAAAAAAAGATTGAAAGATGTGGATTATGGGTTATTATTATTATTAGTTATTTCTTTCCAAGTGTAAAACAAACTACAAAAGCTACAATTTAATGTAATTAAATGTGAGAAATAATTTGAGGAATAGAGCAGAATGTTAGACACACTTTGTGTAACTTTTATTTTTTTAAATTAGCCTCACGCACATATTTAGACTCACGTCTGGTCAGTGTGTAACCAATTATAACTGATTTACTAAATAAACATGAAGGTAAAATGTTTTTAGTAAATTAATAAATTAGTAGACAAATTAAACCCAAGTCTTAAATCTACACAACTTGGCCTTGACTTCAAAATGTGTTTACATGTGTTCACAATAATTGAATCTTCTGAAAATATTGTCCTTAAAATTACAGACATATTAATAAGATAGAGCAATAGAGGATCTGTCAGTCTATATTGTCTCTCATCAAGCGTGAATATTTACTATCCTTTTGTTTGAGAATCCAGGGAGAAACACCAGGAAGATGTTCCTTCATCCTTTACTCCACCCCTTTCATGAACTCCAGAAACTCTGCAAGAGAAGGATGGTGGAGATGCATGGGACAGGGACAACCATAGACTTGCATCACACTGGGTCTTTAAGGGTTGTGACACATATAATGTCTCTGTAGCTTAAAGCAACACAAATACCACCACCAGTATTTATTAAAATCATTTTCACAAAATTTTCATGGCCTCCAGAATATTTTGTTGTATGTCTGAAGATGCAATATATCAAAAGAAAGAACAGACCCTCTACTTTTAGCAACAACAAAGATCTTGTATCATCACTTGAATGTGGGTAAGTTTCATAAAAAAGCAGTTTGAACAAAAAGTTGAGAAAATCACGTTACTTTTGAAAAGACTACAACATGTGCATAAGCAATGCTTCTATCGCTTGTTTCTGCTTCTTCTTCACCTGTGTTTTTGAGCAGGAGATTCTGTACTCTTTCAGAAGATTTGAAGATTCAGAAGATGTATTAGCGTGCCCTACCCCTGATGCTCTGGGGACGCCACACCAACTACGCCATGCTGACCAATGCCTGCTTGTAGATCTCAAACTAAGCCCTAAGCCTGGAGGACTCAGCCCTGAACCATTAAACTGTCAGCGGGCGAGCAGTACACCTTGCAACACATCGCTCCCATTACAATGTTAGGAAGGTCCTGAAGCTTCAAGGGAACATGGGTTGTGGGAAAATTCTGTCAATGGCGGGGAAGGAGTTAAGTAAGTGGTTTTAATGCAGCATAATCAAACTCTCCAGAGTTTAAGAGGATTGCTCAGAGGGGAACATACTGAAGCTTCAGATTTCTAGTTTAATGGGAAGGCCTGTTGACATGGCTGTTTAAATCACTATATGCATTCATGGGGGGGTGGGGGGATTGTTGAGTGTACTTGAGTATAAGACAACAATAAAACATGCTTACCATCATAATCGATTTTTCCATCATTGTTTTTGTCTCCGTCCCTCATCAGTTCCTCAATGTCATCTTCAGTGATGGTTTCACCTGTACCTTCCAGCATCAGCTTCAGTTCATCGAGATCAATGTACCCGTCTGTGTTCCTGTCCAGACACAATCAGAAACCATCAGGAACCACTAAACCCACCAGAGGTGAGGTATCTTACTTTAGTTTAAGAACACATACTTATCAAACATACGGAAGAGTTCTGCCAGTTCTTCTTCTGACTTTCCTTTGCTGTCATCTTTCATGCATCTCACCATCATGACCAAAAACTCCTCAAAGTCCACCGTCCCACTGCCTGCAAACATGCACCATCATTTCAGCATCATGACCAAAAACACTTCAAAGTCCACTGTCCCACTGCCTGCAAACATGCACCATCATCTCACCATCATGACCAAAAACTCCTTCTTTAATTAATAAAAAAATAAATAAATACACAAATCACTACTACATGACACATACTTGCCATTAATAACAAATGTATCACAAAAGCAAAAATGAGAACAATTAAATCAAAATGTGTACCTATAGCTGTAAAAAATAATCTCATAGGTGTAAAAAATAAATAAATAAATATTGTGATTAAAAATAAAGTAATTTATTATAACATAAATATGAATAAAATAAAATACCATGTATCATATATCATTGCATCTTGCTGTACGTTTTGCTACAAGTGAAAAGCAGCACCACACCATTCTACAGTACGTCTCGTGATGATAAGTTTGCCCTAAAGCCATTACTGGACTATATAAATGAACTGAAACTATGGCTTACTGGTAACTTTTTGAGTCTAAATGAAAACAAGACGGAAATTATCCTGTTTAGCCCCAGTGATCGCCGTACTCATGCTTATGACCTTCAAATGTTGTCAGCTTACAGTACCACCTGTATTCGAAATCTGGGGGTCTGGATTGATAACAACCTTAACCTTGAAAAGCAGATAAGTGCTGTGGTAAAATCCTGCTTCTTTCACCTTCGTCTCTTAGCTAAAGTAAAGCCATTTTTGTCTGGTAAGCATTTTGAGATAGCTATGCATGCTTTTATAACATCCAGATTGGACTATTGTAATTCTTTATATATTGGAGTTCCTCAGAAACATATCACCCGTCTACAATTAGTCCAAAATGCAGCTGGACGCCTCCTCAAAGGAAAACGTAAATTTAAACATATACAATCGGTTCTGATCTCGCTTCAATGGCTACCAATTAAGATTCGAATAGATTTTAAAGTTTTGCTTTTTGTTTTTAAATCGTTGCAGAATTTATCTCCCCAGTACCTATCTGAATTGCTTCACCCAGAAATTAAGTCAAGATCACTAAGATCGGGGGATTCGAACTTACTTTCTGTACCTAGGACCAGATTAAAAAATAGGGGTGACCGTGCTTTCGCAGCTTATGGACCCAAGCTATGGAATAGCCTCCCCTCAAATATCAGATCTGCCCAAACTCTGACACTTTTCAAAACCTCTTTGAAAACGCACCTCTTCTCACTAGCTTTTAATATACCCTGATGAGTCCCTCTTTCTCTCTTTGATGTGTACTTGTTGGTCTCGTGCATGTATTGTCTACCCTTTACTGCTTTGTTAAGCACTTTGGTCAACGCCAGTTGTTTTTAAATGTGCTATACAAATAAAATTGTATTGTATTGTATTGTCTCTCTACACTCGCTTCTCACACTGCAACCTGTCGACAACAGCATTGACTGCGTCACTGAACAGGCCTGATAGCGAAACCGTTTTACGCTGATGCCAAACAGGTGCTGCTACGTCGCACACAGGAGTGACAGAAATCATCTATTCCAATAAGATTATAATGATTTTTACCTTTTACGGGCATTTCTTTTTTTCCTTTATAAAGCCATTTTTTTAATTAAATGCATGCATCATTTTGTTTTGTCAAATTATTTCATTAAAGCTGCTGTCCGTAACTTTTTTAAGTTAAAAAATAATCCAAATTAATTATTAAAAAAAAAACACATCTTCAGCCAGTGTTCAAAACTATCTGCTTGCCATAGCTAGATTCAAAACGGTTAGCTTGTAATAATGATTTTAATTCCAGTGGTACTGGTGGGTTTCCGCGGGAAATTCGAGCATGTCTTTGCGTCATGACGTCACACCCGTACACATAAAGAAGGAGTTTCGGCTAGCCGGCTATACTGCGCGTGACGAGATGTTTAGATGTATAGGCTTTTCTCGCAGCACTTTACATAATTAAACTTATGGCATCCAGAAAGATCCAAACAACAATCATCAGTGTCAACTGGAGATTCAGCAGTTATAAAACCCAAAAGACTTCGTACTTCGGATTTAAGGTGGAAAGAGAAAGAGAAAGAAACCGTCTCATGCGAACACAAGGATTTAAACATCGGCGGGGCTTTTGAAAGGTGCGTGAACTCCCGAAGGGGTTCGAGACGGAAGAAGAGACAGCTTTTTCTGCTGAACAAGTAAGATATTTCAATAGTTCAATCGTGTAACAGTACGTTTTCTTAATTCACACAGTTATGGAGTTTCCTTTGTTGTGCCTTTCTCGTTTAGCTATTATGGAGAATATGAATTCTGAACTACGCACGTAACCATAAAACACATTAAATAACGTTAGTCACGCAATGCTGATGTTGTTAACATGAACAATTTGAGAACAAAGTAGGCTATGATTTCCACGGTTGCTGTAAATCGTGCTGATTAAATCTAACGAAGCTTATCATGTCGAATGCTTTTTCCCCCTTAGTTGGTCAGAACAAAAATGGATGTTACTTGTTCAGAAGACATTTTCCGGTGAAAATTCGGTAACACTTTATAATAACTGCACGCTATTAATCATTAGTTAAGCATTAGTAAACAGTTAATTCATCATTTATAAAGCATTAACAGACATTAATAAGCAGTTTATAAATACAGCTATAAATGCTTTATTCTTGATTTTAAAAGCATATCTATAGTGTGTTTAATAATTGTATTTTCATATATTATTAATGATCAATTTATCATTTCTAAATGAAGTATTGCATTATTTATAAACCAGTTATTTAAAAGTTGTCAGTGGTTCATAACATTACTTAGAAATTGTAAGTAAATGATTAATAAACTATTAAAATGTACATTCATACATCTTATTATTCAGGCATATAGTAATAGTTACTTAGTGTTAATAGATGCTTTATTAACATGTATTTAAGCTGTAATTCAGGGTTAATTTGGTAGTTATAAAGCATTTAGTAGTGGTCAGTTAACTATTTTTGTGAGCTCATCTAAAGTGAGGACTACTCATGCCTTGTAAAGCATTTATAAAGGAGATTTAAATGCTGTTAATAATTTCTCTGTTCTGTATCACTGTGTTGTGTTTGTTTCATTTTTCTGTTTAGAAGATAACTGAGCCTTTAAATCTCCTTTATAAATGCTTTACAAGGCATGAGTAGTCCTCACTTTAGATGAGCTCACAAAAATAGTTAACTGACCACTACTAAATGCTTTATAACTACCTGAATTTACTCCATTTATTTACACTTTCTAAGTGATCTTATGAACCACTGACAACTCTTAAATAACTGGTTTGTAAATAATGCAATACTTCATTTAGAAATTATTAATTAATCATTAACAAAGTATGAAAATACAATTATTAAACACATTATAGATATGCTTATAAATCAAGAAAAATGCATTTATAGCTGTATTTACAAACTGCTTATTAATGTCTATTAATGCTTTATAAATGATGAATTAACTGTTTACTCATGCTTACTTAATGATTAATAGTGTGCAGTTATTATAAAGTGTTACCGAAAATTCTTATGTTGGTCAAGCTTTCAAAAAGTGAATCTGTGATTCTGAATGACAGTATCCACACAGCGCGGTGACTGACAGCAGCTCTCGCCTCAAAGCACTGTGTTCATCCGCGCTGTTTCATGCCGATTTACAACCCACGTAAAGATGATAATTCCGCGAATCACTGCAGTTACAGATTTCGAACAGAGATGGCGACAAAAAGGGAAAAAGCTACGGACTGCAGCTTTAAATCAAATTCTATAGAATAATAAGACACAATAGGCCTGTCAACAATCAAATGAAATCAGTATCAACAATTTTTTTGCTTAATGCAGATCAGAAGGACATGAATGCATTTAACCTTACAAACAGAAATAATGTTTTAAAGTTTTAAACATAAACCGTTGAATATTGAGATTAGAAATGTCATGCTAATAAAGCTAATTTGAAATTGAAATTGAGTGAGTTAATGAGTTTCAACCGATTCATTCAAACTGCTGAATCATTCAGGAACAAAGCTCTTAATGAGTGAGTCATTGAATCATTTGTTTTAAAACAAAACGCAAAACAGTCCTGTGTCTTTGTTTGGAACTATTTTCGTTGGCAAAATGGAGCAAAAACAGGCAATACTGAGTCTAAAATGTTAAGTCACTTAATATTACATTATTGTTTATTGAACTGTTGTATAAAATCAATATCACATTTGTAATCGTGCTGATTACAAATTCGTGTGATATTGATTAACTACTATATTAAATTATATAATATAAAAGACATACTGTAACGATCACCAGTGAGAGTGGGATTTTTAATGACCACAGAGAGTCAGGACCTCGGTTTAACGACTCATCCGAAGGACGGTGCTCTTTGACAGTATAGTGTCCCCATCACTATACTGGGGCGTTAGGACCCACACAGACCACAGGGTGAGCGCCCTTCAGTGGGCAACCAGTCTTGGGCTACAGGGTGATATGACTGGCCATATCATATTAATTCAAATTCAAGATATGATCGCAAAAATGACTTGTATGAGATCTTGTTTGTTTATATTATAACATATGATATATCACATGAGCAAGAGAACTGCTTTCACAAAAATGAGCACAATTGCAAACGTGATATTGATTTTATACAAACGTTCAATAAACAAAATTTAATTTGTAAAACAATCTCAACATTATTTATTGTAGTTGTAATTGTAGCTTCTGTGCCACCTCTGCAGTGCAAAGATGAATTTTGTTGTTAGTGATTTCATTTGATTGGTAACAGCTCTATAGATTGTCTTATTTTTTTAAAGACATTTCTCAAGCAGTAAAAGGTTTTTTTTTAGATGAATTTGAGGAGACCAGGGGCCTCATTTATAAACGTTGCGTACGCACAAAAGAAGGCGTAAGCCGCTCTCTACGCAATAATTGGTATTTATAAAAAGCAAATGTGCGGTCCTTCACGCAAGCCCTGACCCAGGCGTACGCACAAACACGGGTGAAATGAGAAATGGCGACACCGTTGGCAGATGGAAGAAACACGTGAAAGTGTGTGAAACTGTAGACCGTTGTGTAAAATAAATGGCAATACTGCCTCTCATAAATAACACGAAGACGTCACAAAGCAAGTATTACAATTAACAGCCAACACGAACACCCGTTTGATCGATCTGCAACAGAAATGCAAATTAACACATATTTGCAAAAAGAAAAGTGAAATATGTTCTGCAATAATAGTGGCATGTTATACAATTCATCCTCATAAATAAGATGGTAAACAGAACAAAATAATGTACAAAACTGATATTCTCGCCAATGTGTCCGTCTGGCGGAGCAGATATAGCTAGATAGTCAGTCAGATAGATAGATAATTAGGGAGAGATAGATAGATAAATAGATAGATGTATTATTTGTCCACTGGGGAAAGTTGTTTTCATAGTAAAAATGTCTTTATCAGCTACGGAATCATGGTATTCATGCAGGTATTTCATGCATATGCCTTTAGTTTGTTTTATTTTTGATAAAATAACGTATGACGTATGTCTCAACCATTCAGAAAGCTGCAAGAAATTACATTTGCGCTGAACTATTTCCCATTTCCAAGTAGATTATAACCGACATCTGTAGCTTGTCATTTATTTTTTATTTCGGCCACAGTCCGAGGTTGTGAGGCTACAGCATTTACGGCGTCTGCAACCTTTTGCCACAAGTGCCTTTTTGGCATTAGTAGGCTAATGCCCACACTGTGCCCTCCAAACAACATTTTTCTCCTCTTTTCCACCTCGCCAACGATAACTTCTACTTCACATTGAGTGAAGTTACGTTTTTTTGATTTCCTCTCTATGTTTGCCATGATTTCGCAATCGATGAATATTAACTTGTGGGCGTTTCACGGACTATTTATGGGCAACTATGGGCGTGACATGAAGCCGCAAAAGCTGCGCTACATTTAGAATTGATTGTGATTTATTAAGGGAAAAATGCGTAGGATGTGCGTGCGCACGGTTTTATAAATCCGAATATTTCTGTGCGTACGCACGTCCTATGTTTCATCCGTACGCCACTTCTGATGCAAATCCTACGCAAAGTTTTATAAATGAGGCCCCTGGTCTGGTCTTAGTCTTGACTCTGTCTAGCCCTGCCTTGGTCTCAACCCCACAATGTCTTGGTCTTTTCTTGGTCACAACACACACTGGTCTTGGTCTTGACTTGGTCTCGGTCTAGGTGGACTTGACTAAAACACTTGTTGACATTACAGGTTAGGGTTCTGGAATGTTACTTATTCTGGATTGTTCAGGACACCTTACCATCCTCATCCACCTCGTCAATCATCTCCTGGAGTTCTTCCGGCGTGGGGTTCTGGCCCAGCATCCTCATTACCTTTCCGAGCTCCTTAGTGCTAATACAGCCATCTTCAGCGTCCTGAATGAAAATATCAAATGCTGCGCGGAACTCTACAAAACACAACCACAGAACTTAAGCAGTCAGTTAAGCTTTTGTGTACAGTATAGTGTCTCTGTCATGAACAACTTAATGATATTGTTAATTAATGTCAGTTTAGTAAATCTTTATTGCATATAGCCCTGCTGAAAAACCTAGCATAAACCAGCATTAATTCCATGTTGGTCCAGGCTGGTTTATTCTGGCTAGACCTGGAATAGTGCTGGTCTAGCTGGTGGATCAACATAGTCATGCTGTTCTCAAGCTGGTGTAGCTGGTCCACAGGCACTCCTGCTTCCCATAGGGACCAGCAAACCAGCAACCAGCATCCTATGCTGGTCCCAGCATTCAAAACATAACTTATGGTGGTGACCAGCATTGCTGATTTTTTTTAGCAGGGAGGCTATAAATAATGCTGTTATTGTTTTTTTATTAGTTGGGCATGGGTGTTAAATTCAGCCAGTTTTTGTTTTCAGTAGGAAACACCGATCTTGATTGGTCAAAAGTGTGGTCAGGTGATGTAGCATTAGCTGAGACCATAAATAGATGCCTGAAATGCACATCACCAGCTTCTTTGTCTTCAGCAAGCCACTGTTTGCATGTGTGTGCGAAGTCTTGTTCTCTGTGTTAGGAGTTCAAATAAAGAAACAAAAAGAAGTTTGTCTACTGTCTTGGCCTCAAACCTAAAGAAACCCCCACTACCCACGAGACCTTGCAGAATTACATCCAGCCTTGTGGGTAAAGAGGGTCAGGCTGGTGCGTTCCTGCAAACTATGTCTATTCTGCAGGTGTACCAGGCCAACCTGCTTAACGACCTGGACTCCGGTGAGGCTTTTAGTCAGTCAGGGAACACCGCCAGGCCACAGACCATGTCCTCCGTGCCCCTAAGCAGACGGTTGCTCTATTGACTGTGCAATGGCTGCTATGGTTGCGACGTAGCAGCACCTGTTTGGCATCAGCGTAAAACGGTTTCGCTATCAGGCCTGTTTAGTGACGCAGTCAATGCTGTTGTCGACAGGTTCCAGGTGTTCAGACTTGTATCTCAGGTTTGCTTTCGGGGGCGAAGTCCCCGAAAGCGAAGGGATGTAACGATTCACTCCGAGCCGGTTGAAAATTGATACAAATATGTGACGATTCAAGTCGGTTGAGATGTTAAACTAATCGCGATACACGTTTTAAACAGCAAAGGCGTTTACTGTATACTTGCTTTACAGGGACAATAGCAGCGAGTGTTTTCAGTTAATTCCTAGGGAAGTTGAGTTTGTGAGCGTGCGTGAGCTGGAAGCTCAACTTCCATAGGAATGAATTGAAACGCTCTCTCTGCTCTGCGCCAGTGTGCACGCACCTTCAAACAGAAGCAAACATGGCGACGGCAAGCGCGTAGATGTTGAAGTTGACTCATTCAAATCAGAGGTAGTGCTGCCACTAACGACTAATTTTCTAACGACTAATCTTTCGACTAATTTTTCGATTAGTCGACTAATCTAAACGACTAATAAAAAAAAAAATCAAGTGTTTATTTCGTTGTGTCCATTTTATTTTGAACTCAACTGAAGGGCCAAAACATAAAATGTCACCTGTTCAAAAACATTATGTATTAACAATCTAAGCATAAGTATCTGCATTTCCATTAGGCTATACCATATTAGTCAGAGTCCTAATCTAATCCTCTAATAACAAACATGTATGTATTACTTAAATTAGCTCTTTGTTCTGCCTTAAAAAATGTACAGTAAGCTAATAATGATTAATTTATGTACATTTCTGAAAAGCATAACTGATAACATCACTCTGAATAGTAAAGTAGATGCAATGCATTTTCTGTGAAAAGCGCTATACAAATAAATTGGAATTGAATTGAAAGAGTCTAGCCCACTATGAGTCGCGCTGAAAGCAGGCAGGCACGCAGTTATGTAGCTCGCGTTTACACTTGCGTGCATGGCGGGCCCGTGCCGCGGTTCGCGTGAATGTGAAAGCAACACGGACTCGGGAACGCTTGTTCAGGAAGTTAAGTAACCTGCCCATGCGTTTTAGCTGATTATGATGCATTTAGTTAAATAAAACACATGTAAGGGATGATAGTGTTGATGATTTACCTTGGATACGCGAGAGTTGAGTCTGCAGTGTATTCGCGCATTGCGCGTGCAATCAGGGCAACACATTTGGAAATCCACTGTCTCCTCAAAAGAGTCCGTTTGAAAAACACAATATATTGACCCGCGTTCTGTTTTCTATCATGCGCCGTGCACGTTTGCGATGGCATAAGATGCACGCAAACTCAACAGGGTTCGATAGAATTGAGTGTGAAACCAGACCAACGCTGCGGGGGGCGCCGGGAACAATCGCGCTCGCGCTCGGACTCGGACCGCAGCAAACGAGCCCACTGTGAAAGCTCCGTCACCTGCCTCCGCAATTTTTCATATCAAAGCAGTGAAGGCGGGCGGGAACGTGAAGGAAAATTACAGCAGATAAACCAGCAGGGCGCGCACGGCGCACAGACTGGTGTGTGGAGGTGAATTACAGTGAGCCGTTTGTGACGGGAGACCAAAAATAAATAGCGGTCAATAGTAAAACGACACGTCGACTAAAAAAATTGCCGTCGACTAATTTGCATGGTCGATTACGTCGACTAAGTCGACTAATCGCGGCAGCACTAACCAGAGGTGTGGTGGCATTTTGACTCTCCGAAGACTAATAATCACCACTGTGAGACTGAGAAGCTCCAGTCACCTCCGTTCGTATGTAAAAAAATATTAATAGGCCAAACCACACTGACAGGCGGATTTCCAGCCCCACTCGCATTCCACCCATGCGTTTCTGGATGCGGTCGTTTCCTGGCCCTGGTTGACAGTCACAATCACTGCCTCTCATGTCTGGGATGTAACCACGCTGAGGTAGCGTTCGTGGATGTGTCATGTACCCACTGCGGGAATATGACCATCTCGATGCTGAGATCGAGACTCCAATGCCTCGTAAGAGGTGAGGTCCCCTCTACTATCCCCAATCTAGTTCTTCTTGCAGCAGAAGACTACTTTAGTTGATACGCAGGACGTTCTGAGGATCACAGTGCCGGTTCCCGCCTTGCCAATCCCCGTGGACCCACACTCCTTTACGGCATCGCAAGCTGTGGAGCTTCCGAATGCTGGTGCTTGTCCTTCTCATGGAGGACTCAGTATCTCATTTGTGGCTCCTCCGGAGGACCAGATGTCATTCGCCGCATCGGAGGGTGGGCTAGAGTCAATACTTCAAAGGCGCTAGCTAAATGTCCGCCATTGCGAGATGTTTGTGCTGTGACAGACTGGTCCTCTCTGCACACGTTTATAAGGTTTTACAGTCTGAAAATGGATTCAACCCCAGCAACTCATGTCCTTCATTAATTCTTCTGTATCAGTTCTCATATCTTTGAGGTGCGCAGTATGCTTCACTTCTACCTTCTTGGAGAAATATTATTCAGTATGGCAACGTGGGTATTAACGTTCCCATAGCATCAACATCACGATGCAGCGTTGAGTTCCAATTGAAAGGGACTGTCTCAGGTTACGTATGTAACCCGGTTGCGTCACTTTGCCATACTTCATGCAATGCCTGAAAATGTCTTCGATCAGACCATTAGAATCTGGTGACATGCATTTCAAGAACCTCATACCAACTTTGAATCACCACCAGTATATTATAATTATTTATGGGAATTTTGCTGCCATAGGGCCTAGCAAACTTGCTATCATAATGTGAACTATGAATTCCACATTATCCATCTTATTTTACAACGTGGAAGTAAGCTATTTTCTGTGAATGTGGGCAACTTTCAATTCATAAGCCGCTATAAGTAAATAGCTAGAAGAATAACAAAATGCAGTAAACAGCAAAACTATTTGTGCCACAAACCAGTGTTTTTATTAAAAATGATAATTAAAACAATATGATAACAAATATCAGTGTGCAATATCAAGCAGCATAACAAAGTGTTTGTGTACAGGTACAATAACTGAAAGAGGAAAACACCGAAAGCCTTGCACATTCATATTACAAATGGCCTGATCTTATGTTAAAAATAATATAGATACCAAAGAGTGCTTGAGGACACCATGAGGCCATTTGTTAACATTAAAGCTCAAGCAAACAATCAAAACTACAAAGGAGTGACTTGGGGTGGCCAAATTAATGTCCAAATCTCAAATCCAATTTAAATGGTGTGGGGGGACTTTAAGCGGGCTGTTTCTATTTTCATTGTTATTTTACACTGTTATCATGTACTTTTTTTTACAGCACAGTAGGTAGTAAATATATATATATATATATATATATATATATATATATATATAATCTAGAGGCATTTTAAAACATATAACATAACATTTTTGGCCAGTCTGAGACCAAATGCCATATAGTATTACTATGCCATACCATTTTTCTGCTCATCAGTGAGCTGCTCTACCTGTTGAAGACATCAATGGATCAATAATTATGACAAAGTCAAAACATAATGTACACTACACAAATAAACACAAACATGCATCCACACGGATATTACAGTCATTTCAGTCAGTGGACTTTGGTAAGTGGATTTGTGTGGTTTTGGTGTTTTTGTGAAAAACAGTAAATTAAATATTAAACATATTAATTAAAAGGTTTCTAATCAAATAAAAAAAAGATACCACAACAACAGATATAGCTTCCTGCCCTCTTCTAATATAAGGCTGTGTCCTCTGAAAATTATTTTGTTTTATTTGACAATTTATGCTTCAAAAAGAACAACGGTCAATAACGGACCCTTTCTGCAAACTCATTGAAAATAACCAAAACAAGGTTTTTATTTAGTACAGTGTCTAGATTAACAAATAAACAGATGTCACCTAAATGTCTAGCTTACTAATGTAACTCCTGTTCCCTGAAGGAGGGAATGAGACGTTACATCAGTGACTGACGAATTGGGATCGCGCCTGAGAGCCCTTTCATCTTCGAGTGTTAACATAACATGTTAACCGCCGCGTATGACTGCCGCTGGTGCTGGAGGAACTCCAAGCAGGGTTCGCCCGACAGGGAACTCACCTGAGGAGCAAATAGCGCACGTATCCAGTCCTAGGAGAGGAATGGCGCTGCGAGCGGGACACCGAGCCAGCCCACCCATACATCACCTGTTCCCAGACAACACACGGGAAGAAACAGGTTCTACTCCGAGGATGTAGAACCTCGCGAATGTATTAGGTGTCACCCAGCCCGCAGCTCTGCAGATGTCTGCCAGCGAGGCGCTGTACGTCAATGCCCAGGAGGAAACAACACTCCTGGTAGAGTTAGCTCTCACCCTAAGGGAGCACAGCTCGCCTTGGGACTGATACGCCAAGACGATGCCATTCACAATCCTGTGGGCCAACCTCTGCTTAGAGACCTCTGCTGGCCTCCATAACAGACAAAGAGCTGATCTGAGGTCCTTAAGCTCTGTGTGCAGTCTACATATAGAACAACCAAACATTCTTCCAAACATTGGGAAGCAGACACACTCTGTCAGTTCAAATCTAGACTAAAAACACATCTCTTTGACCTAGCATACACATAACACATTATAGACTTCTATAATTCAATGTTAGGCTGCATAGATTATGTCAGCCGGAACCGGAAACACTTCCCATAAATCCTGATGTACGTGTTACATTATAAGAAGGATGGTGTCTACGCTAATATAAGTCTCTCTGTTTATCCCGAGGTTTACTGCAGTTCGCCGGATCCAGGCCGCATCCAGATCTGATGAAGGATCTGAGCCTGATATATTCAAATGCCCATACCTATAGACTAAACACGTGATGCACATGTGCACGCCGTCTACGTTTTCGGGGGTTTGCTTTTTTAAGGTTTGTGCAGAGATAACCTTTTTTTCTAAATTTTTCAAGGCTTGCACCTTGGAATCTATTTTAGGGTTTGCGTTCTCGAGCCACCAGGCACTGTTTTGTGCGGATGAGCGGCCGGAGCGCATTGAGTGTTTTCTGTTAGAACGGTGTCGTGTTAGCTGGCCCCTAAGTTGATAACTTATGATCTTTGCAACGGAAGTGAATCAATCAATCAAAACTAACTTTAGCTGGACAATAACTTTATTCTAAAGCTGCTGTAAAGCCAAAACAATCTCTGTTACTGTAATTTCCGATTATCACTGTAAAGCTGCTTTGAAACAATCTATATTGTTAAAAGCGCTATATAAATGAAGGTGACTTGACTTGACTTAAAGGTGCAATGTGTAATAATTTTGAGTATCTATTAACAGAAATGCAATATGACATCCATAACTATGTTTTCAGAGGTGTATAAAGAACTTTGTTAATAAACCGTAATGTTTTTATTACCTTAGAATGAGACATTTATATCTACATAACCGCGGGCACCCCCTTCTATGAAGGTCGACATATTGTGACGTCATGTTTCTACAGTAGCCGAACGCGAACAAACAGCGCTACAGACCGCGTTTCGTCACTACCTTGAAAGAGAAGCCGCAGAAACCTAGAAGCTAGCCATAAACACCGTGAGTAGTGACTTTTCCCTTGTCAGTGGTGTAAAATATGTAGTTGGACTGTTTCATGTAACTTAGTTCTTCTCCCTCGCTGTGTTATGGCTTTGCTATGTGGGGATAAATGTGCTGGTTACGTTCGTGAGACAGCTGATTAGTACTCTTGTCATTGACCGTAAAACAGTATGTTACAGGAATCACCAACCCGTCGATCGCGGTCGACAAGTCGATCTTGGAAGCATTTTAAGTCGATCGCGAAGAGTTTTCAAAATCAGAGAAAAAAGCCTATTGTGTGTAGTAAATGGTGTCTAGGGGATGTGGAGGCGTGCGCGCTGTTACAATCATGTCATTTTTGCCGTGCGCACCTTTGGGCTCATATCATGCGGACGCGTCGAGTTTAAACAAGGCTTTACGCTTTAACCAGCTCAGCCACAGTAACAGCTCATATTTAGCCAGCTAAACTTTTACTACCCTGTTAGAAAACATATATAGTTGCATAGTTTCATGTGGTTCTTCTCCCTCGCTGTATTATGGGTTTGCTATGTGGGGAGAAGTGTGCTGGTTACGTTTGTGAGACAATCAGCTGATTACTATTATTATATTATATATTAAGACCCTTGATCCTCACTATGGCTTTGTAAACTTTATCCATGATGTGGTTTATAATGGACTGTGGTACAGAAACAGTGACAATGTTACACACTCTTGGCTTACTCTGGCTATTCTCTGCTGTCTCCAGACGACAATATGTTTGTCCCGTTTTAGCCACCGTAGCTTCTTCGGAAGGGAGGGGTGAGCAGTGGGCTGAGCCCTTAGTGCAAACTCGCAACCGAACCACTAGATGTCGCTAAAAATCACACACTGCACCTTTAATGTATAGCGCGCACAGGGCACAGAGACACTATGGCTGGGTGCTTGCAAGTTCACCACTTGGTCCCTGAAATGAGTGGTGGGAATGAGTCTTTGGGCACATATCCAGGCCGGGGTCTCAGGATGACATGAGAGCAGGCCGGCGCGAATTCCAGGCATGTTTCGTTGACCGAAAATGCTTGCGGGTCCTCGACCTTCTTGAGAAAATTGAGCGCAGGGCTTAAAGGGAGCTCTCTGCAGGGCCGTTAAGACCAGAGAGAGATCCCAAGAGGGAGGTCGACATCCTGAAGCGAGGTCGGGGAGGGTTCAACCTCCTCGCATCTCTCAGGAACCAGATGACCAGATCGTGCTTTCCCACAGACTTACCTTCTATTGCGTCGTGATGTGTGGCGATAGCAACAACATACACTTTCAGGGTGGAGGGAGACGGCCTTCGCTCCAACCCATCTGTAGAAAGGAAAGGATGACTATGATCGGGCATTTACGGGGGTCTTCTTGGTGTGAAGAGCACCATTCAACAAACAAGTTCCACTTCCAAGCATAAGCGCGCCTCATAGAGGTGGCTCTGGCTGAAGTTATAGTGTCTACTACCACTGAGGGTAGGTCACCTCCCAGACCTTGCACAGGGTCTGTGCGAGTAGGCTCACTGGGGGAAACGCATACTTGCATAGGCCCCGAGGCCTGCTGTTTGCCAGTTCATCCGTGCTGAGGGTCCCCTGGGTCAAGGAATAGAAAAACTGGCAGTGGTACATGTCCGGAGCAGCAAAAAGGTCTATCTGAGCGCCTCCCGGGAGTGTGAGCTGTTGTGAGAGCGCGTCAGCTGCATGACTGAGCTCATCCGGAATTTGAATGGCACGAAGCAACCTGACTCCATAGGAGGAGATGGCGGGTGAGTTGCGACATGCGACGGGAGCATAGACCACCTTGACGGTTGATGTACGCAATGGTCGATGTGTTGTCCGTCCGGACCAGTATATGCTTGTCTTGCAGCAACGGCAGAAACCGGTGAAGAGCAAGGAATACTGCTAGCAACTCGAGACAATTGATATGCCGCTGCAGTCAAGATCCTGTTCAGGAGCCCGAGGCAGCATGCCCGTTGCACACGGCACCCCAGCCGGTGGTGCAGGGAGACAGCCCAGGAGAAGAGATGGAAGGTGGCGGAGGTGGAAACCGCTGGAGGGCACCCTCGGCGATTAGCAGTCGGAGGGAATGCCACTGGCGGATGAGTGGAGGCAGCAGTGGTCTGCCTGGCAGGATGTGGGCTAGCGCCTCCATCTGCTTTTGTACCGCTGGGATCTGGAGGGCAAAGTTCTCAGCAGTCTTGCCGAAGAGGCCAGCCTGGGAGATGGGGGAGTCAAGAAAGCGGACTTGTCGGCCTCCCTTATCTCAGCCAGGTTTAGACAGAGATGTCGCTCCTGGACCACTAAGCTGGACATTGTTTGACCAGTGACTTTCGTTGCTCAGAGGGCGAGGTCCATTACTGTGCGTAGTTCTTGCATTACACCTTGGTCACCTTGGAGGCATCTGTTGAGACAACAACATGCCTGGACACTTGTTCTAGGGGAACTCTGGCCCATAGAAATGCAAGGTCTGACCATGGGCTAAAAGCTTGGTGGCAGGTTGGAGTGATGGTCATTTGGAGCGTGCCATGGTGCCATGCCCTTCTCGGGACTCGATCGTGTAACCAGTGCTGAGCGGTCTCATATGACGCAATCCGAGCTGCGTTACCGTGGCTGCAGATGCCATTTGCCCCAGGAGCCTCTGAAATCATTTCAGTGGAACCGCTGTCCTGCCCTTGAACGAATTCAAGCAGTTCAGCCCTGACTGAGAATGCTCGTTCATGAGACAAAGCGGTCAGGTTGACCAAATCCAACTCTATTCTGGGAAAGGAGATTCTCTGTATGGGGAGAATTTGCTCTTTTCCCAGTTGACCTGAAGCCCCAGTTGGCTGAGGCGACCTTTGTAAAGACGCAGGGCGACAGGGACAGCCCGAAGGGAAGATCTTTGTAATGGTATGGCTGTCCCTAAAACGCAAAACGTAAGAGTGGTCTGTGTCAAGGGAGAATTAAAACATGAAAGTATGCGTCCTTCAGGTCAATCGCTGCAAACCAATCTTGATGGCAAAATGCATTAGAAAAGGCATTTCTGCATTAGGATCTTGAACGGAAGCTTGTGTCATGCTGCAATGCATCCTGGGAGCCATGAGTTTTATACTATTGTGGCTCCCAGCATGCATTGCGGCATGAAGAATGTCACCATTGTTGAGATTCATATGCTGAATCTTAATGTCTGTCTTTAAAAAAAAAAAAATCCCCATAGTGTACTGTATTTTAAAAATCTAAATTTAGAATGTCCGATCTGTGGCAAGGGTATTGTTAGTGAATATAATCTATTAACATCAAATAACCACTTTTGGACAGTGATGAGATAAGTGCATTATTGCACAAAATGACTTTCATAAAATAAAACAAAAAAGATTATATCAAACATAAGTAGTTTTTCTTTGCTGGAGAAATCAGGATCTACTGGCAGTTATGCTTCAATAAAACCAGTTTTTCAGGTTGGTTGAACTCAACTCAGTTATCAAAAGGTTCCAGATGCTTAAATAATATAAAATACTTTATACCTGTGTTTCCTATACAAACAAGGAATTATGTCAATTATTAATTAATGGTGTAATCAACTTTGCATGTGTGGGCAATAAGTAATTTACCACAAAAAAGAAAAAGAAAAAAAAGAATGAAATTAATAAGTAGGACTCTGCTCAAATGCTTCACACTTCAATGTTCCAACCAGGAAAATGTATGGGTTAAATGTGTACCATGTTTGTGTAAATTGCCAAAACATATTTCGAAGTTGTGTTCCCATTAAAAACAGGTTTCCTTTAGTCCAAACTCATATTTTATTAAAATACAAAGACTTAGGTTTGATCCAAGTTATTTTGCAGATTACACACTACACTGTAAAATCGAATTAGTTAGTCTAACTTAAAAAAGCATGCAAACCTATTTCCTTAAACAAACTAAGTAACGTGAAATAGGAATAGTATGTTGTACTGACAAATGCTTAGTTAGTATAGTTCACTAACAGGAGAGTACTAGTAACTAAGAAAGAACTGTAGAGATTACTTGATAATTTACTTTAGATTTACTCTTGACTCAGCATAGCTACTCAGAATTATTGACTCCCAGAGTGCATTGCGGCATGAATAAATAATGCAATTGCTTTGTTGTACTATTTTTTGTTTGTTTGTTTGTTTTATTTGGCAATTTTATTTGCTGTCTTGTGTCAGCAGTAGCACAACAAGAAACAGCAAATCAAATTGTAATTGTTACAATGAAAATATAATAAATAACATTTAATTATTACCATTGTTGCTGTAATTTATTGTAATATCTTCAAAACCATTAAGAAATCTAGTTTTAAATATACTTCTTTTGAAGTATTGGTGCTTAATGTAAAAATATATAGTGTAAATGATAAATCACGTTTGAGAATTCTGCTGGCTACTTTATACAGGCCACCAGGGCACCATACAGACTTTATCAAAGAATTTGCGGACTTTCTATCAGAATTAGTATTGGCTGCAGATAAAGTCCTAATTGTTGGTGATTTTAATATACATGTAGATAATGAAAAAGATGCATTGGGATTGGCATTTAAAGACATTGTAAACTCAATTGGAGTTAGACAACACGTGTCAGGACCTCATTGTCGTAATCATACTCTAGATCTAATACTATCACATGGAATAGATGTTGATGCCGTTGAAATTCTGCAGCAGAGCGATGACATCTCAGATCATTAACTAGTCTCATGTAAACTTCACTTAGCCAAAGCAGCAAAGCTGACTCCGTGTTATAAATATGTTAGACCTATAACTTCTGCCACTAAAGATTGCTTTATCAATAATCTTCCTAATCAGTTTCATCATCTCAGCATCCCGGATAGCTTAGAAGAACTCAATATTGTGACAGAAACTTTTAACTCTCTCTTTTCCAGCACTTTAGACGCAGTTGCTCCGTTGCGCTTAAAGAAGATTAAAGAAAATAATCCAACGCCGTGGTACAGCGAGCACACCCAGGCCCTTAAGAGAGCAGCCAGAAAAATGGAGCGTAGCTGGAAGAAAACTAAACTAGAGGTATTTCGGATTTCATGGAAGGAGAGCTCGATTGCATACAGAGAGGCTTTAAAAGCTGCTAGATCTGCTTATTTTTCAACCCTATTAGAAGAAAATAAACATAATCCTAGGTATCTATTTGAAACAGTGGCTAAACTAACGAAAAAGAAAGCTTCAAGCCCAGAAGTGTCCAAGCAACACAGCAGTAATGACTTTATGAATTTCTTCACTTATAAGATTGATAATATCAGGGACAAAATTATAACTATGCAACCGTCTACTACAGTATCGCATCAGTGCATTGTAGTCTCCCTGAGGAAAAATTTG